ACCCCTCCTTCCCTCCCCCCCTGCTCCCCGCGCGCCCCGGCCTGGCGCCCCCTCTGTTTCCTCCCACTCCAGGCCCGGTGGGCGCCCCCTGGGGGGCAGGAGCGGGATGGGAGCCCTAGCCCACCGCCTTCTCCAGGCTTGGCCTTCCTGGGCCCGAGGGCTGTTTGGGGGTCCCCCCAGGCCTCGCCTCACTCGAGCTTTTGGCGCCTTGGAGACAAGTCCCCCAACCACATTCCTTCATATGACCCAGGACCCAGTACACAATGAAATCTCTTTCTCGTCTGCCACCCGGGGTCCTGGCTTCCCACCTTGTTGTTCCCCTTCCTGTACTCACGACTTCCTCCGGGATTAAAGACCCGCCCACTGGTGGGAGCCCCCGTTAAAGCACATAAGCAAGTCCTCACGGAGGCCGGGTTTGGGGTCTAGCAGTGTGTCACCTCTTGCTGAGAGTGATGGTGCCTTACAGGCCCCACAGAATGAAAGCTGGCCCTTGTTCACAGTCTAGAGGGCTCTTATTCTGCCCGCCTAACTGCCTCCCTACACAACTAGATGGAGCCTGCAGGGGATTCTCCTTTCTTGCTCATTCCTAGATGTGCATGTAGAACTGATCTGCAAGACCGCCTCAGGGTCAGTGATTCACTAGAAGGACTCACATTAAAAGCCATTATACTCCTGCTTAAGGTTTACACAGTGATAGGACACAGTTTAACACCAGCAAAGGAGAAGGCGCGTAGGGCAGAGCCAGGGGACACCAGGTGGGAGCACTGAGTGTGCTTTCCCAGCGAGTCCTACTGACAGCACTGCCTTCTCTCAGCATGAAGTGTGACCACACACATGAAGAATTGCTGAGCAGGGATGGTTGCCTGCACCTTGGATGCAGGGTTTCACTGGAGATTCGTCATGTTGGCCTGGAGCAACTGCACGGCTGATGTTAGTCTCCAGCCCCTGCACAGGTCAAGTGGTACCGGCCCTCTGCCAGTCATGTGTTAGCATAAACTATAAACTATCTGGTGTGGACAAGGCTCCAGGCAGGCAGATAAGTTCTTATCAGACAGGAAATCCAAGGGCTTAGAAGTTTGTTCCCAGGAGCTGACCAAGGGCCAGGATTTTTTTTTTTTTTTTTTTTTTTGAGGCTGTGCAGCATTTGATTTAATTCAAGCCTGCTGAATTAACCTTTTGTTGTAAGGCTGCCCCCTAATCCTTAAAACAAAACTGTCATATTTTTCTTAGCATCCGTGGCTAGGAATGCAAACAAGAGCATGGTTGGCCAGGGAACCTCAGTCCTTGATTTCAGCTCCCCAGAGACCTCCATAGAGACCACAGTGCATTGGCTCTCCCCCACGAGATCTGCCTGGTAATTACCTACAGTTGGGCCCCCCAAAAATTTCACATTGATGTTTAACCAGGAGTCAGACGCCTCAACAAAGCATTTATAACTGGTACAGCAATTGTATATGAATATGCCTCACATGGAGGAGCCAGTGGGGGACAGAGAGAGATTGAAACAAATGGGTAACCTACACTGTAAAGCACACATGCAACTTGATATTTTTGTACTGATAACTTTTGTCCTCCACTGATCTACAGTTATTTATATCTTGAGGTACGTTTGTGCAGAATTATTTAGCGTCCAAATTAGCTGATGGTTGACTAGTTCCTGGTCTCCTCAGGCTGATCATTTCCCATCAATATTCCATCTTGACGAGGCTTTATCTCAACTTCTTAGTACATCTGTTCATCAATATCAATATTATCTTATGACTTATTTGCATGAGGTAGTTAAATTTTACCAAGAATGTCAGTGTTATACCATATTGCTATATGGTCCTGGTACAATTCAATTTTATTACAGAACAAATCACTGAGATTACAGTGATATTTGCTACATCTTCTCAACAGACGTGATGATCTGAAGAAAAGTCTTGATAGTCCAGATTGATACCATATCTTCTGTTCTAGCCCTTTAACAGTATTTTAAGCATCTACATATAGCACTAGATATGCAAAGACCAGTTCCAGGCGTTTTTACTTCTGTCAAGACATAATTGTAGCCTCCTGGGACTACCAACATCTGCCTAATATAGTCTACTTGGCACCAGTGTATGGGGCCTTGCCCTCGCAGAATCTTCTACATAGCCACCAGCAATCTCTGTGTCTCTTATTGGTCCACTGGACAGCTGTTGTTGGCATTTTGTGGCTCAGAGGCTGCAAGATGGATATGTCGATGATCATCTCATCTCTGCCTTGCTGTAGTCCTGCCATGTCAACTTATCTCATAGGGCTACCTGGCCAATAGATGGAGGCTGGGGTAACTCCATTCATCTTAGCTGCTGAGGCTCAAAGAGCACACTTATGGGAAACTTATGGATCTTCAAGTCTATGGACGTTTTCTGGGGCACTTCAAATTTACATCAATACCTTTTGACTGCCCTCACACCCAAATTCCATCTGAAAAAGACATACCCTGTGGTGCAGTTAGCAGGAATAGGAACCGTACTAAATATCACTTGTGTCTTCTCCAAGGAGGCCCCTACTATATAAGACCACACATCTTGTCCTATGGTGTGGAGACTAAGTAACCATCAGGCATCAAAGTGTCACTTTCTCCTACTCTCTTATCCTTCCTCTTCCCAAACCATGCCTTGGCCATGTTCCAGTTCTTGTGAATCCTACTTCTACAACATGTTAGGGGTCCCCAAGACAACCCTTGGGTTCAGTGATCTACTAGAAAGACTCAGAGAACTCATAACAGCCATTATATTCACGGTTACAGATTATTACAATAAAAGGACACAGATTAAAATCAGTAAAGGTAAAAAGAAGTATTTAGGGCAGAATTGAGGAGAGAGCAGGTGTGAGCTTCCAAGTGTCCTCTCCCGTGGGAGTCATATGGACAGTGCTTAATTCTCCCAGCCGCCCTGTGTAGCAACACCCATGAAGCATTGTCAACCTAGGTATCAGAGGTTTATTGAGATTCGGTCACACAAGCATGAGTGCCCCACGACTGACTTTAATTACTCAGTCTCCAGCCCCTCCAGAGATCAGATTGATACAGTGTGACCCACAGCCCCCACCATAAATTACATTGTTAGCAGGAACCAGAATGGTATAATTCTCTAGGTATATGAAGACACTCTTTCCATGCAGGTTAGTCAAAGGGCTCAGAGGTCATTTTCCAGGACCTGGTGAAAGACCAGTCTCTTTCTCGGACTATGCAGGATTAGAGCATCCTAAGCCTGTTGAGTTGAACTTTTACTTCACAACAACCAAGGATGAAGAAATGTCTGAGGAAAACCCACATGTGCACCAGAAGGATCTATATGAGTAAACTAACTTTTGTTTTTTTGAGTTGGAGTCTCACTCTGTCACCCAGACTGGAGTGCAGTGGCCGCTCCCGGCCACTGCAGCCTCCACCTGCTGGGCTCCGGCGATCCTTCCGCCTCAGCCTTCGGAGTAGCCGGAATTACAGGCATGCGCTACCACGCCCGGCTGATTTTTTTATTTATTGTAGAGATGAGGTCTCGCTCCCCAGGAAGGTCTCAAACCTGCAGGCTCAGGCAATCCACTCACCTCAGCCTCCCAAAGGCGCGGGATTACAGGCTGAGCCACCGAGCCCGGCTGAGTGTTTGAAATTTTAAAGATTATTGCTCAACTAAAACATTTTAGCAGAATTGTACATGGGCATAGCTAAAAAATGAGTTTGTTAGGTTGAGGCTAAAGAAAAGAAAAAATGCTCAGAGTTTACAGCAAAGAATTTACAGTGGGGCACAGGGGCTTGCGTTTATAATCCCAGCACTTTGGGAGGCTGAGGTGAGAGGATTGCCTGAGCCCACATATGGGAGCATGCCTGTGGTTCCAGCTACTCGGAAGGCTGAGGCAGAAGGATCACCTGAGCCTAGCAGGTCAAGGCTGCAGTGGCAGTGAGTGTGCTACTGCACTCCAGCCTGGGCAACAGAGTAAGACTCCAACTCAAAAAAATAAAAATTTATAAAGGGCAGATTCCATGACAGAAAGATATAAAGACATGGATGGCCATGCCAGATTGACTCAATATTGATTGCTATTTAATCTGGGTGATAGGTGTAGGATTTCTTTGTACTCTTCTACATTTGTGTATATTTAAATTTTTCCATAATAGTGTTTCAAATACAATACAATAAAATAAAAGGTAGTGTATTATTTCATTTTGCATTAGTATAAAGAGATATCTGAGGCTGCATAATTTATAGAGAAAAGAGGTTTATTTGGCTCACAGTTTTGCATGCCTTCGGCATCTGCTTCTGATGAGGCCTTAGGAAGCTTACAATCACAGTGGAAGGCAAAGCGGGAGCAGGCATGTCACATGGTGAGAGAAAGGAGGAGGTGCAGGCTCTTTTAAACAGCCAGCTTTCAGCTGGGCTTGGTGGCTCAACCTGAAATCCAGCGCTTTGGGAAGCCGAGGTGAGTGGATTGCCTGAGCCCACGGGTTTGAGACCTGCCTGGGCAACTTGGCGAGACCTCATCTCTACAATAAATCAAAAATTAGCCAGGCATGGTAGCGCGCACCTGTAGTTCCAGCTACTTGGAAGGCTGAGGCGGAAGGATTGCCGGAGCCCAGCAGGTCGAGTCTGCGGTGACCGGGAGCGTGCCACTGCACTCCAGTCTGGGTGACAGAGTGAGAGTCCAACTCAAAAAAAAAACAGCCAGCTCTCACATAAACTAATAGAGTGAGAACTCACTGATTATCACAAGAGCAGTACCAAGCCATTCATGAGGGATCTGTCCCCATGATCCAATCACCTCCTGCTAGGCCCCACCTCCAACACTGGGGAACAAATTTCAACATAAGATTTGGAGGGGACAACCATCCAAACTGTGTCAGGTGGAGACAAGCCAAAGGTCAAGCCAGGCTCTGGGCTTCCCATGAATAGCCCATGAGAAAGGCAGGGATGTACTTGGTGCTGACCCCATATGCTCCCTCTCTCTGTCTACAGCCATGTGAACTGCTCTAGTTGTGTGTATGCTGAAGATAAAGGAGCATTTCCTGGATTGCAAATATTCCTAGCCCAACATCAGTGGAAATAAGAAACATAAGGAGCACGCTTGGAAAAAGAGTACTCTGAAGTCTACTAGCATTTCTGTATCAAATACTTTGGTGGGTCATGGGTAGCTTACCTTTTTGGTATCACAACAGGTGCCCAGATAACTGTGAGCACAAAAGTGTTATTGAATGAGTGTGAGTTTTAAGTAACAGTTCACTGA